TTAATTAATTTATCATCCTTCAAGTTTCTAGAAAAAAAATAACGCAAAATAAATAATCAATCAATTCCTTTTTCTTATATCATATCCTTTATTTCTTTATAGAGGTATTAAAATTTCTATATATTAATTATTAAGATATATTTACCAAAATATTTAAGTATTTATATTTTATGAATATTTCTAAATTTAAAAATATCGTATTTAGTATATCTATTTAGAATAGATATTCGTCCCTATTCAAACAAATTCTCTACCGACCCTCGAGAAAAAATATGAAAATTCAAAAAAGAAAATAAAAAATATATAAGAAATATTAATTCAAATATTAGTAAGAAACCTAAATATAATACTCCAAATAATAAGATCCTTATTATACAAACCTCCAAAATAAATTACTCCTTATATTCCGAAACTCCTATATTTTTTATATAGTATATCCATAGACTAATCGCTATATATCATATAAACGAAAAAATAAAATGCAAAATTTCCTCCTAATTTTTAGAATCTTTTCGAAAATATTATCAAGCTCAATCATTCTATTAAAAATAAAAAAAATATATTAAATGCATAATTATCGATAGAGAATACCAATTTAAATATAGATCATTATTTAAATAAATATATATATATATAAAGAAATCATAATTCTTCAAAAATCTATTTTTCCCGGTGATTTTTTATAATAAGAATATATTTAAGAAAATAGATAAAGCAAATTCAATAATTCTATCGTCAATATTCTCAATTCAATGATAATAATCAGAAATTCCAATAATTAGATATAATATCTTCGCAATCAATTATATAATATGGAACAGATAAGTAGGAATATCTAAATATCATAATAAGATCAATCATATCTTACCTCGTAATATGTCATTGCCGAGGCAAAATTTGACAAAAAATCCATGCTTACAGTTCGCCGATCAAATGATCAGAGAAAAAATAATCCAACCAGTACAGTGCAACATGATCTTGGATGTCCTCAACAAGCCCCACCTGTGCGGAGAATATTTCAAGACATAGACGGTTCTTCAACGTTGTTATTTAGGGGCGGATCATACCGTCGAGGGTTCTTCTGAGCTCCCAGATTATGACATTCGTAATTTTCTGAGAGTCGGTTTTCACCTCAACTTGCTTCACCCGAGCCCCACGGTTTGCCTAGTATGTAAGCCCTCCTAAGCCCTAAACACTAAACCCTCAAGCCCCGGATAAGTATGATATTCTTGTTCTAACGTGCATAGCCATCTAAACTCCTGTATGCTTCTAATATGTGACGGACGGAACCAAAAGCACAGACACGAAACTTCTAGAGACAAAGGTGGTTCCGCGGCGCGCAGACATGCAATAAAGCAGCAGGCGAGACGCAGAGGAAGGCTCGCCCTCTTGCAAGTCCGTTCCCTAGCAGCCATAATCCCCAACAAAGCAGAAGGCGAAACCCGGTCAAAAGCCGTACGAAACTTAGGACCTGAACCCTAAGCCATGTTCAAAACTCGAAACCCAAAACCCAAAACCCAAAACCCTAACCCAAAGCTCCAAACCCGAAACCATCCCCAAAACTCTTATATAAACCCTCATAGGCACCCGTATCGCACCCTGGTAAAACGCTTCTAGAACCCTTAACCCTGAACCGCTTCTAGAACCCTAAACCCTCAACCGCAGAACCCTCAAAACATAACCGGATTTTGCAGACTGCAGGAGCTGTTTGTCGGTGAGCTGTGAGGCGGGCCTTTTTGTTTAACACGCCTTTTTACCCTCGCAGAGTCGGCAACTGGCTGTTTGGGCTTTTAGGGCTTCAGGGAGTTTCAACCCTAAACCCTAAACCCTAAACAAGAGGGTTTTGGGGGAGATTCCCGAGCCTTGGATGAGTCAGTTATCGTTGATTGAACTCCATGTGGGGACTTCCCTAAATTAGGCTTCCCTTTAGGGTCCTTTTTATAAGGGTGCCATAGTATATATGTGTATATATATATATATATATATATAGCATACTGGGGACACCAAAAAGGGACTCGAGTTTAGAGAACTATCAATGTTCAGATTGAAGAAGAAGGGGGTGCCAGCCAGATCTCAGTCAGTCATGGCCGGACGCCTCCCCATCGGCGGCATCAAGTGGCTTTGGGTTTAGGGTTTAGGGTTTGGGGTTTAGGGCGGCTTAGGGTTGAGGGTTTAGGCTCAATTCTGGACTGCGTTTGGGCTTCTTAGCAGCTTGCATGTTGACCTAAATGCCCACAGCCGGAATTGAATCACACAGTCTGTTAGATCACCTGGAAATTAGAAATTAGAAAAGCGACCGTCACCGACATTAGGTGGTGGTAGGCGCATGTCTGCGTTGCAGCTTTGAGCTAATTTTAAGTATACAAGGGCTATAAGGGAATGTTATTGGTCCGAAGATGTTTCGAAAGCCTGAATTACGGTTTGAGAAGAGGAGGGCTTAGGTGCAATCTAAGCGTGTCCGTAAGCAGCATAGGCCGTCGGGGTGGTGTTCTGCCATGACGACAAGAAAGCACCTGAGGGACACCATTAAACCTGAACCCTAAAAGCCGTAATCATTAAGTCTTCTTCAACCCGTTAATCAGCCTGAAGGATGCAGGGCTTCGGAGTTGAGGGTTTAGTTTAGGGTTCAGGATTTAGTTTTGAGGTTAGGATTTAGGTTAGAGTTTAGGATTTACATAGGGTTTAGGGCTCAGGCCCAGGCTAGGTCTAGGCCAGCATGAAATTCGACTACTTGGCGACTCCAGAGTTTTATCCACCGGCACAGGCTTAACTACCCAGCCCCTAGGGTTTAGGGTTTAGGGTTCTAGCTCTCAGTTTTTATTACAGGCAACATGGCCTCTCGTCCAGTAGGCTTGACTTGACGAAGTGGCTACTATGCCTCAGGCATCAGCCTACCTGGCCATCCTTGCCTTGGATACTGAGCTGTCTTTCATTGCTCGGCTGCTTCTGACTGCATGGAACTGAACTCAGAAACGGCCCCAAGCTCTATAGGGCGGCCACGACTGTCCAGCTGCACGAAGTTGTAAAGCTGCAGGCAGAGATAGATGGGCTGCACCGAGAGGTCCGATCCATCTTGACTGATGTTGGCCCCCTGGACGAGTCTAAGCTGCGAGTTTCTGGCATGAAGGGACAAGTTTCTCCCATTTCCCTCTGCCAGGATCTCTGGCATGCAAACATGCAAAGGACCAAGGGCCTGTGGGACGAAGCCAATATCCGTACCGAGAGCGCTCCACACAGCCTCCCGCAATTTGGGCAACGTTGATGGCCACTCCGACGGAAGCATCATGCGCTTGAGAGTTGGCATCCCAGATCCTTGGTCTTCGAAGCGTGTAAACCGAATCCTGGCCTCCTTGACGTCGAACCATTCGGTCTGCCCATCCAGGAATAAGCTGATGTCGACAATCTCCCGGGAAGATGTTAGTGAAATCGGAGGGTCCTTCTTATGGCTTTGTGAAGAAGATGCCGAGGCAGAGGAAGCCAAGCGAAAACGACGGGCCGACTTCGCAACTGCAGCCCGGTCCACGGAGAGGCGCGCATCGCAGGGCTGCATGTCGGAGGCTTCGGGGTCTTCGACAAAGCCAAGAAGGTAGCGACTTCCCTGCCCAAACCTGTCAGGAATATGGGCCATGTAGATGTCCCCTCGAGCCAGGCCACCAGAAGCCCTTTTCAAGCTCAAGCGAGCCATTGGGGCGACTTGCTTGCCAGAGGTGGCCTGTTCGATGCTCTTTTGGGCCAGGTTGAGGAACTCGTGGGTGGCGGTGTCGTCTGGAAGCAAATCCAGGAAGGACATCCCCGACATTTCATCCCGGCGATGAAGAAGCAACTCTAAGCCTGTTGGTCGGTCTCGAATCTGAAAGTGGCTGTCAAGGATTACGTCTGCATCCATACAGCATCGAACGATACCTGGGTGTTTCCGATAACTTGGGGGGTACCTTATTTTGGGGTCCTTATTATAGGGATCCTACTATTTAGGGTACTATATTAGGGTCCCCAATTTTGAGAAACCCCCACCTCGGAAAGCCTCCAGAGTCTCCCGCGCGTCGAGTTCCGATACAATCATGGCTCGAGCCAGCTGTTCGACTAGTACGACAAGAGCTGCTGAACACGCGCACCGCTGACCGTTGGCAACGAAGGTGTCGAAAAAGCTGCAACCATGACCCACGCTTTTACTCCATGAGTCAGCAACAAATATCATCACCAAGGGCAGCATGGCCGTCCTGCAAGATAGCGAAGCCACTCCACAACCTATCGCAACCACCATGTCCAGCTGGTCGAAGCCACTGTGCAGATCGCTCCAAGCTGGGAGCAAAGCGCGAACGAAGAACATCGCCATCACTGAACCATACATCGTTCGTATCCTCCAGGCAGACAGACGGGACCCCATGAAAATAATTTCAAGGCTGTTGGCATACAGAAGGGCGAAGAGTAGAACCCGAGACAAGGAACATGCTGATGGAAATAAGCAGGCATAGAAAAGGAGCGTGGCCAAGATACATATCTGAGTATGAATGAACGCTCGTGCGGCCCAGAGATTGAGCGATATTGACAGATTCTCCAGCTTTTCATCCAACCTCGGATCCCGAAACGGCATAAACAAGGCGGGCACCTTCTGCAACGCAGTGGCCAGTATTTGGGCATGGCCCTTGACTTCCACTCCGACCACGTTGATGTGGCACAAGACTAATACAACAACAGCAGCACTTGCGAAAAGGACTGCCATGGTCTCCGGGCGCGAAAATTCCTTCTCAAAAGCTTGAAACACACGTGGCTGGCGGCTTGGGTCCTAAATCTGACTGTTCATGTTGAGTGAGATCCAACAGCCTAGAAAGCTTCTTGCGAAGGCATGGGTTTGGGGTTTCGGGTTAAAATGACAGATTCACACCCCGCAAACCGACCTCATCTCCCGCGCAGCACGGAATGGACGTGCCTGACAAAAGGCGTGCCATGTCCCCAATAGGACTCTAAAGCAAACACCGTAAGCTCGTCCCGCTTGCACAGTGCGTCTGGGGGCGAACGTCGAACCTGACCCTCACTTGCTAGACCCCTAACACCCCCGAGCTTCAACCCTAAATCTTAAAACCTAAACCCTAAAGCCTGAAGCCTAAACCCTGGACCAGAATCCTGTGAGCCGAGAGTCCGAAACCCCACACCCCGTGCCAAGGAGAGCGTCCTGCTGGTACGGTTTGCCAGGGTTCAGGTGTTTTGTTTAAGGGTTTAGGGTTTAGGGTTTAGGGTTCTGGGATCCAAAAGTGAAGATTGGATAAGGATTGTCTTCTCCCCAACTATACAAGTTAAAGGTTACCTTCTGAGGTTGTTTCAGGAAGAAGCAAGAGGGGATATCAGTGCAGAAATTATAGCAAGCATCCCTGGGCTGGGTCTTCGGCACCTGACTGAACCCTGACGCGTTCAGGCGAAGTCTTCTGCGGGCCCAGCCCATCACCGTAAACCTAAAGTAAGCACGTCTTAACCCTAAACCCTGCTACTCAACAAATCACATACCCTAGCCCCCCAGGTACCTACTATATGCAATACTAGAGCCCCCAGGGCCCTATATAGTAGGTACCTGGGGGCTGTGTGGGATCGTTGGTGTTAACACTCGTGGCTTCAAGGCCATGGCCGAGCGGATCTGAGTTCCCTGCGCGCTCCTGTGGCTGAGGGGTACCTTCTCCTCCTGCCAAGACGGTTTCGGGTTCAGGGTTTAGGGATAAGGCGTTTTAAGGGTTTCGGGTTTACTAAACCCGAAACCCTAAACTCTCCGAAGCAACCCACCGCTTTAGGGTTTCTTGTTTGGTGTTCACATGTCATGCCTTAGACAGGTAGGCTGTCTTGGGGCCACAGGAACCCTACACCTCTTCCTAATTCAAACTAAGCTTAAACCCAAAACCCTAAACCCCCAAACCCTGAACCCCTCAACCCCAAACCCCTAAACCCTAAAAGTCCTAAACCCTAAACCCCTAAACCCCAAACCCCTAAAGCCCTAAACCGCTAAACTAAACCCTAAAGCCATAAGCCCGTTGTACTAGCTTTTTCGACTCGATACTTGGGATGGACTGACCCCCGACCGCTAGGTCCCCCAAGGCCATTTATGCCGTAGTAACTAGAATAGTGCTCCTTAGGGTTTCTTAACATAACTATGGTAAAGCATACCCCAAAAGCCTATCCTAATGATTCAGGCTCCTATTGTTCTTCAAGAATATACAGCCGATACAAGGGGTTGATGGGTCTTCAGAACTCTTTGGCAGTGTTCCAACTTCGCACATGTCTTGTGAGTCCATCTTCCTGAGAGGCAGTGCATAGCAATCCTTTATCACGAACATCCCAAGAGCTTCTATACGCAGGAACTGGGCCTGATACAAAAAGAACAGCTGTGACATGTCGCCCACAGACTCAGGATATGTCTTCCCAGGCTTTTCCAAACTCCGACACCTCTGCCGCAACCCTCCGCCCTGAACCCTCAACCCCAAACCCAAAACCCTAAGCCTGAACCCTAAACCCCAAACCCTAAAACCCTAAACCCTAAACCCTAAACCCTAAAACCTAAAACCCTGAACTCTAACAGTAAACCCCAAGCCCAAAATCCACAGGGCCTTTGGGCGCCGCGAGGTTGGTTTTGGCGACGGGCTCCTGGCGGTCCGAAGCTCTTATCCTCCTCCTCTGTTTAGGTTTCAGGGCTTGTTCGTAGTTTATGAGTGTTTATGAGTAGTATTGTTGTTGTTATCAAGGTTTTTTCATGAATGTTTAACGACAGTGACTGTTAATGCTCATGTTGTCGTTATTGTGTTGTCACACTGGTTATTGCTGTTAGCCCATGAGTACTGTTACTCTTGTCATTCTGATTCTGATTTCTGGTATTGCTAGTGTGCGCGTTCTCAATAATTTCTTTATGGATCATTATGGGTATTGTTGAAGATGCATCTGGTTAATGCTTCTATGAAATATTTTTTAAGATTTCGCGTATCAACACAGAACCGGCTACTTTTTGAGGGTGGAACAATAAAATAACAATCCCCATAGCATCCAGCTGTACAGCCCGGGGAAGCCCGCTTTGGGCTCACGGCAGCAGCTGAAACCCAGAAAGCAGTTCCAGGCTGCAGGAATCCCCCGGAACGTTTCAACAGGCTAACTTCAGATCTGCATGTACCTTTGGTTTGAGGCCTGGGGTGGGGTAGGCTTGTAGATGTTGTCTAGGATACAGGGCAAAACAGGCAAGGAGGGCAATATTAGAATGGTATAACTGATAGAGCATGATAGAACCACGTCAACCAGATAGTGTGGATAGGCCACGGAAAAAGCGTTTGTGGGCTTCCAAACGATGGAATTGTGGGCGCCCAACACACCTCACAAAGTCGCCAAATCCCATAGCCGCGCTGCTTGCTCACACATTCGGCACAGCCGAAAACCGAATTCCAGGCTACTTTGAAGGCCTTTCGAGATTCCTGTGGACTTGGTGCTGGCTACACCTGATACCTGTAGCCCAACAGACCTATCTTGTTCAGGAATTGGCTGCAGATACGTATGGGGCCTGAGGGGGCAGTGCTTCCGGAGGTCGTGCAAGACGTGGCGCAGCCTCAGCAAGTCCCACCTAACGCGAACTGAACCCGGGTTCTTGTTGAGGAACTCAATTAAGCTACCATGATTGGGATTTGTATTAAATGTATGCTCTCCTTATGATAGTGACTGAGGTTAAACTCCTTAACAGGGAACCCCACCCACCGGACCGTTCAGCATTTGAGCTTAAGGTCTGTGGCTTCGGGGCGTCGCGCTCAGACCAAACGACCGACAAATCCGAATCACGTTAGTCACTGCCATCAAAACGCAAGGTGTCATTCAGTGTAGGAGCTAGTCACTAGTCTGCCACTACCTCCCTAAACTCTAAACCCTAAGCCCTAAACCCTGCAACCCTAAACCCCAAATCCCGAACCCCCTAGCCCCAGTCCGATCCCTCGACATACGCCGAAGCCTCCGACCGAAACGATCCGGACGCAATGTCTTTGCCCAACACGGTTTAGGGTTTAGGGTTTGGGGTTTAGGGTTTTAACCCTAAACCCTATAACCTATAACCCTAAACCCTAAACCCTAACCTAGAACACCAAACCGTGAAAGCATTAAGGGGGTGGCAAACGGATAAGGCTCTCACGCCCCACCACCCTAAACCCAAACCTCAAAACCCTACCGACTAAATCCCGGCGAAGGTCAAAGCCTGAAGCTCTTGGACCCCGAAGCCTTAAAGCCTAATCTCGTGAAGTCTCCACAAACCCTAAAGACCCGAAAACCACAGGCCCAGGACAAAAATCGCCCTGCGGTTTCGTACACCCGGATGTGTCTTTACAGTCGAGCCCTTAGTCTTCAAGTCTTGACCTTCGGGGTTCAGGACGATTTGGGGCGTAGGGGTTTAAGGTTTAGGGTTTAGGGTTAAGGGGCTTAGGGGTTTATAGGGGTTGAGGGTGCTGAGGTGGAGAAGATTCCGAGTTTCGAAGGTTAGCATTTTGGGCCTTCTGGGCTTTTGGGGGGCTTGCCCCAAGCCCTAAAGCTTAACCCTAAACCGAGCACGCCGGGACTCGGACTGCATAGGTGACAGCCGTGGCGCCAGGTGTCCAAAGCAGCGAGAATTTAGTCTCACTCTCGGCTGCCTGGAAAAATGGCAGAAGCTTCTCCAAAACGCGATTCGAGTGTTTCGCCACCCTATGTATGGTCTTTCAAACCAGGCTTTGCTGCTTGAGATCTACATTAATTAGGGTCCCCTGCTCTCTCAATCTCCCGTCTAAGTTGGGGTGCAGATGCTAGTGAACTCTTGGAAACCGTTCCTGCGCAGTTGCGGATGCAGGAGCAGAACGGGCCGGGCATCATCGTCTTCTTCTTCATCATCGTCATCAACGTCATCATCACCATCATCACCTAGTATTGCAACTACTACTGCTAATGATAAGGACGAGAATAGCAAGAGGAACAATGAGAATGATAAGAATGACCATAATCATGACCATCACCGTCCAAGCAATGGTGAAAGTAGCTAATGGTAATGCCGGAAATGCACGGATTCCGTCATTGTACGGTAACCTTCCATGCCTTAAGCAACCCAGTAAGCGCTGAGCCAGTAAGCTATGCAGCACCAAATCCCTAAACCCTCAAAACCCTAATCCCTAAACCCTAAACCCGAATCCCTAAACCCTCAAATTAGAAAGCCGAACATCATCCTCCCTTCAGCGTCTAGCATCTCTGTCAGCCCTGGAAGGCAAAGCTGTAGCAACTCTATACATGACCTCACCAAACCTCTACCCCTGAACCCTAAACCCCTAAACCCTATACCCTAAACCCTAAACCCCTAAACCTATACCCTCAACCCTATACCCTAAACCCTAAACCCTATGCCTATACCCTAAACCCTAAACCCTAAACCCCTAAACCCCTATACCCTAAACCCCAAACCAAATCTCGACATACAAACCGAAGCTCGGGTTAAAAAGCCCCCCTGGAGCACCTCAGTGCCATTGGCCCAAGCATTTGCGATCCGGGGGCCTGACTGTGACAACGGTTGTTGAGGGTTTCGGGTTTAGGGGTTTAGGGGTTTAGGGTTTAGGGTTTAGGGTTAAGGGGTTTAGGGGTTTAGGGGTTTAGGCGTTTAGAGGTTTAGGGGCTTCGGGTTTAGGGTTTAGGGATGACGGTTTAGGGATTAGGATGCTCAACTGGTTCGAGCACTCAGTGCTCTTGAGTCTCACGGGCTGAGAGTGTAGGTTTCGGAATCTCCACTCAACACTTCGCCAACACTGGGTACCCATCCCGACGGTGGCAAGCATAGGTCCTTGAGGACCTAGTCGCCAATACCCCCCAACGACCTGAACCCTTCGACTACCAAAAAGCATCGGATGCCCTATAACTGAAACCCATCATCAAATCTTATAA